AGTTTCGGCAGTCTTTAATCCTGTTTTATTCTGGGTTCCCAAATTTTTCGAAGCGCTTTGTTATCGAAGAACTCGGATTTGGGAAGGTCCTGTCGGATGAAGTAGTCGTAGTTTTTTCAAGGCTTCCAGATTGAGAGCAGTGTTATTCGATAGCTTTTCTTTGCACTAGCAACTATGCATGAAAAGTTACTGCTAGGTTAGTTCGTAGTCGGTTACGAGTAAGGAAAGTCCTACATTTTGATTTTTCATGGTAGGGACCGGTGTATTGAGAAACTAATTGTCAGGCGACACGGTTTTCTTAATTACGATTACCATAATTTATTTGATCTGTTTGGCTCAGACAACTGATTGCTTAACGTGAGCCTGGCTGTGACTGCAGCAGTCGGATGGTTCTGTGGATATTACAGTAAAAAAACTAGCAGACACACTCACCGGCAACATCCACACCCACACCCACATACCTGCTGCCATACCTCCGTACCCACATCCACACCCATTATCCAGGAATTGGATGCAATTCCGGAATCGAACGGAATTCCTGAATCGCATGCAATTTCGGAATCGCATTTCGGAATTCTGGAAATTGCGAGAACTCGATCGTTGTCGAATAAGCCAAGTTAGTTCGATGATTCTAGAATTCCGGGAATCGGATGGAACTGATTCCGGGGACGGAATTGATTCCGCAATGTGCAACATCGCGAAATAGGATGACTGCTCAGTGTGGGAAGAGAATACCAGCACCCTGATTCACAAAGAGAAGAGTAAAAAAGAGAATACACATCGAAGATAATATGATCTATTATTAATATCACATATCATGACAAACAGCTGTTAATCGAAATTTTATTATTATGATATTTATTGAAGAATAATCAACTATCACAGAAAAATAGTGCATCGTTTTTACTATCATTACATGTAAAAGAGAAAGTTTCCTCAAGATTTCTCTATGAAAATAAAGTACCTACGTCACTAGTTTTGGATTGTCCTAAGTAATATAATATTTTGTATAGTTAATCAAACAAATAAATTTCACTTTTTTGAAAACCATTTGATAAATATGATGTCCCATGAGATGTGACAGGAAGCGAAAGTTGTAGAAGTATTCCATGCCATGGAATAAAAACTTTTTGAACGGTGTTCCATCCCATTCCACATGAAGCTCTGCAGGATAGAATATCTACTCAAGTCGAAAACAAAATGAAAGAAAAAAAATTTTCGCTATTCTATGAAACCCTGGAGTATTGATTATATCTTACTTGCATATATATTTCTTCATGATTGAAATATATTTTAAATGTATTCTTCATATAATGATTGATTACCACGATTGTCATTTAGCTTAGAGCAAAATCTACCTATGATATATAACTTTGAAGATTCTTCTCATTGAATTAGTCCATATAAATTAATTATCATATAACAAATAACTTTTTAATGACAGCATGTCTTGTTCTATTAACAAGCAATTACTTGTGATATTGACATGATAGAATCAACATATGCTCTTATAATGATATTAATAATGATGTTACTTTCTATAAGGTAAGTAGATGTCTATAAATAAAAAGCTAGAACAACATTTTGTTTGATGTAAAACAACGTTATATAGCAACGCAAACATTCTATAGTTGATATTGAATAAGAAAACATGTCTTTCACAACATGTATTATGTTTCTTCTAATATTTTCAAATTGGGTTATCGCTGAGGATATCGAAAATGAAAGTATGAACTATAATTAATATTGTTGGTGTTTATTAGATAATTGAACATTGTATTATTTGAATAGATATTTTAATTATTAGTCAAGTGTTTTTAATCATTGGCATTACTGTTGCATTTGTCATTATTATCATTAGCTCAGTTATTTTCGCTTATTTCACGTAAGTAGTATTTGTTTAATACACTTTAAAAGATTTATAAATCTACCTAGTTTAAAATTTATCACAACACAAACCACTGAACCACAATATTATATTAATGATACTTCAATTGATAAAGATAGTAATACATATCATAATGAATATAATGATACTTCCTTTGAAATACAATACTTATATCAAATTCGACCAATTCTAACTGTTTCACATGTCATTTCATCAATTAAACAGTCTTTTACATATTTATATTATTCTCTTATACCATCCAAATGGTTACCTACACAACACACAAATAATCAACAAAGTCCAGACGACATAATAATGGATTTACCAATTTAAATAGTTTTTCTCTGTGTTGTTGTTTTTTTCTATCTCTAACAGTATATTTTCGTTTTCTAATAATTTCTAATATGTTGAATTCATTTTCTTTAATGGAAAATATTCTAATAACTAAAGTCTAGCCACATTGTATCTTTTACCTTCATCCTAAGTAATATCATTAACACGAAATAAACATTCATCATATGATTATCTTTTTGTCATTATTCTTATAGTTAATATTAGAAATTTCAATGTATAGAATATAGTTTCATGGATGTCAAAAGTAAATATGAATAAATGTTAACATATATTTTATTTACATTGTTCGCTTTGAAATCAACGTTTGTCATCAAGAAATTTTTGTCGCCGAATTGAGATTAAGCAAATGAAACATTGATATAAGTTTTTATCGGTCTATGTTTGGAATTCACTTTTGATGATATTCAATTGAAAATATTTCTTCCAGAGAGTAATATATTATTAAAGCGTTTAGAGAAACATTTCAATTTGTTTTGAATATAGAATGTTAGTCTTAAAATTCTAAGTTCTTAGACGCTTCACAGAATCATTTTTGATGTTTTTATGTGGAAAATTGCTGAAGAAGCCAGGCGGCTACAGTTAATTTTTGATAGAATGCTTCCATAAGTATTCAATTATAAAAACAAAAAAAAGTATCAGAAACTCTTTGACATATTTCACTTTATGAAGCTATTTGTGCTGATCATCTTTGTAAGAGAATATTTTTATTTTTATGACCAAATAACGGTATTAAAGTCAAATTACTCGACAATATCGAATTACTCGAGGATTCCAGAATAATATGACCTTAGTATCATTATTTGTTTATGAAAATAGAAACATTTTTTAGCGAAAATGATACGCGAAAAAAGCTCTGTAAAATAAAATATATCAAAAAGTTTTCGAATAGCTTTGTATCTTTTATGGTTGACTACTAAGAGAAGTAATTGAAGAAAAGGACTAAATTCTGTATTGAAGTTGATCGTGCTAGATTTCACGCATGTCAATAAAGCTGATGGTTAATGAATAAAAAACTTGGAAGTTTCTTCAATAATCAGGAAAAAAATTAGCTCATTTAGTCAAAATGCGATGAAAATATGCAATGTCTTCTTTTAGTAAATGACTTTCCTGACACCTCGTGTGTAAATTTTTGATAGTTTTCAGACCTTTAATACGAGAACATGCATCCAACTAAATTATCTAACCTTCTCACGATGATGGAAGGTCCCCAAATGTGACTCACCAGTCAATCTTATATTTTGTCCATAAGCCTCGATGAGGCTACTAGAAACCCGGAAAAATTGATTCCGATACGACCATCCTTCCTAATTTATTACCTTTTTACTGAGATTTTTATCGCTGGCAAGGTATTTATGAGAAAGTCGAAGTACAGAATTTTAATCTAAAGTTCTGCTCATAGATAAGCCTCGTAGACACCGGAATATTCTGAAAATTTCAACCTAATGATATTTCTCCTCCTTAAAATATTTAATATCCAAAAACAATCATGTGTCACAAGAAAAGGTAAGAAAGTCCAGTGTTTTCAACCTTCGATATTTAAAGAACACAATTTTTTAGGCTAAAATTTACAGAGCATTCTGATGTTTACGACACTTACCTATGCGCATCATTCAAGTTGAAATTCTGTACTTCAATTTTTTCATCAAAACTTTACCAACGATAAAAACCTCAGTAAACTTGTAATAATTGGTGAATAATAGTGCATGAAGACAAATCCTTACAGGTTTCTATCAGCCTCATCAGGGTTCACTTATGAGCAAAACAGTAGCTAGATTGGCAAATCACACTTTTAGACTTTCTCTAATCAGTTTCAACAACACTTCCTTCAAAAATCTATTCTAAAATACATCAATCACAGAACATTCCATTCTTATTCATATAGTCGAACATAACAACAAATCATATAATACAAAAATTTGCTGACAATAATACCTTCATCTTTCTATTTCTCATAAAACTAATAAACATTAAAGTTTAATTAGTTTGTTTGCATCATTGATACATCCTACAAACAATCATGATAAACGAAAAAGAGAAATATGCTCTAAATATATATCGATGCAAAAAAAAAATTCTATTTTGTTTGTTTTTGTTTGTTTGTGTGTAATAATAGTTGTGTTGATTCAATGCAAACCAACAGCAACAACAACAACAACAACGATGAACAAACAATAGACACATACATACGCACACAGTTAAAAACGAACACTGAGAAAAAAAGAGGGAAAAAACGAAGAATAAAGACAGTTAAACGCATAGATTTGTTTAAAAGAAAAAGAACTTGGGAAATAGAAATGAATATGAGAAAGGTAATAGTTAGGTAGGTACTTAGTGCTGATAACAGCAATAAGAAGAAGAAGAGAAACCTATAAGATAACATTGCAAAAAATAGGAAATAGAAAAAAACCCACAACACACGAATACAACCATGCATAAGAAGAAGTGTAAACACAAGAAACTTATACAGCAAAAAGAAAAAGACGAACGATAATATACCTTTTCTTAATCAATGTGACGACAAGGAATAATTTAACAAAAACAAATAAATGAACGATGCAAAATACAAGACAAAACACACGAAAAAGAAAAAAAAAGAAATAATAAAGTGACAAAAGAACTCGGATAGGAAAAGATTATGTATGTATTATAAATAGGTCGTCTCAATAGTAGAATATCAAGCAAAAGAAATAAATCATGAATATTCGAAAGTGTTCTAATTAATATTCGTTTGTTTTTTCTTAAATATATTTGGCTTATTTTAATATGACGTTGTTTTTGTTGTTGGTGGTGAATTTCCATTATGATTAATTGGACTATTACTAGCTGCTACTTGAGTCTGATTTGGATTTGAATTGTTAATGTTATTAGTAGTGGTATCATTAATATTAGTTCGAAGTTTTTTTAATTGAACTTTCAATCGTTTCATACCAATTTGAAAACCATTCATTTGATTAATTGCTGCTTGTGCTGATGATGGATTATCATAACTTACAAAACCTTAACAAAAAATTAAATTAATTTTATAATTAAAAGAAAATAAAAATCTTTCTATTTACCAAAACATTTACTACGATTTGTTGTTTTATCAACAAATACTTTAGCTGATATAATTGGTCCATAAGGTGCAAAAGCTTGAGCTAAGTCTGAGTCACTGTATTCTTGTGGAAGATGATATATAAATAGATTGGCACCATCAGGACCTTATAATAAATATAATAAATTATTAAATAAAATAATTCAAACAAACCTTCAGTATGTTTGCCAGCTACTTGAGAAGTCATATATGTTGGGGATGGAAAGACAGAAAAAGAAGCTATAAATAAACAAACATAAAGAATTTTTCTTTTTCTCATAATGAGTAATCGGAAAGTTTTGTCGATAAGATGTTTGTTCACTTTTGACCTACTAGAATATATTTCCGACGAATCAAAAGCTATGAGTAAAAAGTTTTGTTCAAGAGTAGTGAAATAACCTTGAAAAAGAGCCTAAAAAATTTGTTTAGATGGAAAATTTTTGTATTTTCATCACTGTGATTCGAAATTAAAGATTATTATCTTTATTCATATATCAGCTTATAGATCAAAACATATCGTATACTATCTTCAATTTTCCTAAATAGATATTTTTGAAAAGTCGACAACCGTTTTACATTGCAAAGAGTTCTTGACAAAATACTTGTAACTTCACTCGTGTAAAAGCTACAGTTTACGAGGAAACCTCTTTAGATTTTCGATGATTTTGATCTGAAACTTTGTGCATATAGAGAACTCAGCTAGACTGGCTTTCATAAAAAAAAAATTCGCAAGTTTTCTATGTCTCCTCGAGATAAGAAGTTTTCAAAAAAATGCATGTTGTATACCACAATCCATGGAAAAGGATCTATATTTTGAAAGTTTCATATCTCGAAGAGACGTTGTTCAAAACTTCTGAATTTTTTATAATGAAATTTAGTCTAGTTGAGTTCTCTATATTCGCAAAGTTTCGGACCAAAATTCAAGAATATGAATTTTTCCGAAAATTCGAGGCTTCTAGAAAATAAACATATTAAAAACTCGATAGCTTAGTCAACCTAGATCTTTTTAGACCTTTCATTAGAACATTATGTAGTATTTATAGGCATAAAAATCATTGAAATCGGAAGGAAGCAGTTAAAGAGGTTCCCTCGTTAGTTTCATATCGCATTTTGTAGAAAATTGTGCCCTCTACAATACGATCGATTCTGATAAATTTTAGCATGTTCAAAAAGGGATTTATTGGGTAATCAAAAATTTATTGGCTCACCATCAAAAATAATTTTTCAGATCTTTCAGAAAGTCCTTCATTACTTTCGAACTAAAAATTGAAACAAAATTTCTAAGTCCATATTCGAAAAAAGTACACACCCATAGCTTTTGACCCGCCGAAAATACCTTCCGATCACTCGTTATAAAACAATTTCTTAGATCTTATTATCTGTTTTTGTTTTTGTAAAAGCATAATTTTAAAATTTATTTACCTGGTGCTACAGGTGAATTTGCAGTTGGACTTGGATGTATATTAGTTGGTAAAAGACCTTTTAATAATATTCAATTATTAATTATATTCTACAATCATAAGAAACTACCTCCATTGTTAATTTGTGACATAGCAACAAGATTTTGTAAATTATGATGAGCATCTAAATTATCAAAAATGATATACAATATAAAACTATAATCTAATACCTGCACCAGCATTTGATAATGGACTACTACTATTAGCATAGATTGAAGGCATCGTAGGTGGATAAGGTCCATTACTAGGTGTAGGAGCAGATGATGTTAAACCACCATTTTGATTATGATGATTTGTTGGTGGACCATTACTATTATTAGGATTTGGTGTATTACTGCTATATGCACTTGATCCACACATAAGTGATGAAGATTCATTATTATAAGTGCCACTATTTGGATTAGGAGGAGGAGGCGGTGGTCGAGGTGAATTCATTGTATGTTGTTGTTGTTCTTGAATATTTAAAGATTGATTACTACTATGTTGAGAACTTATAGTCATATTTGATGATGTACCAGGTGGTGGAGGTGCTAGAAGAGGTGGTTTATTACCATTCAAATTCATATTACTTGCAAACATTTGTAGAAGACTGTTTAATGCAGCAAAATTTATAGCTAAGAAAAACAGAAATAAAAATATTCAAAATTAATATTCAGTTGCAAAACAATAAAGAATTCAATTACAAGTGCCATTATTATTAAGAAAACCATAATTCTTTAATAATTGTTGAAGAAATACTAAATTACTTATTTCAGGTAAAAAATTATACGTGTTCATATGTTGAAGATTAGGCTGAAAAAAAAACGAAACAAATATAATGATTTTCTTTATTGAAATAATTGAAAAAAATTACCAATGAATTTCCTGGAGTCATATGCTGTATAAGACCATTATTATGAGTAGTAAATTGTTGTTGAATCTTTTTTGTTTCTTTATCTTTTGGTGTATCAGCAAATTTAACAACAAGTGGAGAAGAACAACCCTAAAATGAATAAAATAATTTAAAATAAAATAAAATAAAATAAAAACAAAGCAAATGACCTCCATAGTTTGAGATTGATGCATTGATTTAATTGCATTTAAAGCACATTGACGTTTTTGAAAAGTAACAAAAGCACATCCTTAAAAAAATTATTTTGTTTTTTTTTTAATTTAAATAAAAGATCCTTTCAGATAAGATGACCATTTCTTAATTTGAAAAGTCATCTATACCATTTTGTAAAGCAACTTATGTCCCATCGAATTGCATTTTTATCAAGTTTTAATGTTCTCAGAAGTCATATATCAGGTAAGAAATGTCATAGCAATTGTGGATGATATGATCAAATATTAGAACTCAGTATGTCTCCAAACTAACTTATATCAAATTTTGTTTAAAGTCACTTCAATAGAGTTTTATCTCGTCTTCAATTATATATATCTATTAATAGCTTTCTTCGTACACAAAAACCTTAACATTTTCACTAGCTTTACTGATTTTTGACTTTTATGATGTTTTAAATAGTTTAGTACTGCTCCCCTGAAGACAAAGGTGGCCAATCGTGCAACTTTCTCAAAAATTATGTGTCACCAAGCTCTATAAATATATCAACAGATTGTCTTGTGAATTGTTGTGCGTCATGATTAAATCAGCCAATCAATGCTCCAAAAGAGGCCAATTTTTCGACTTTTAAGGATAGACAAGTATATGAGTTTTGCAATAAATACTTTTTGAATGAAGAATTTTCAACGTATTAATAATAAATTTATTATGCCTTATCATTCATTTGACATATATGGATGTTTCGAAAAGTGCAAAAAATCTTTTTCTTTCGGACCTTTAAAGGAGGATATGGAAATATACAAATTAATTAATACTTATCAGAGATCGAGCATATACTAAATCGAATAGAGTTTCATACTCTAATCGCACCCAACCATTCGGAATCCAAATTCGTAAGGAATAAAATAAAATAAATCTAATTATTATCATAAAACTCATATACTTGTTTATTCTTAAAAATTGAAAACTTGACCTTTTTTAAGCATTAATCAGCTGATTTGATCATGTTGCACAACAATTCAGAGAACAATCAATTGATAAACTTATAGAATTTGGTGACACACAATTTCTAAGAAAACTATATGGTTGTTCGCTTTTGCTCTCTCAGATCGAACAATTTAAAACATCATAATAGCTAAAAATTACAGAAGCTAGTACAAATGCTACAGTTTTTAGGTACAAAGAATAGTTTATTATTCAATATACACCATAGAAGATAAGACAAAACTCTATTGAAATAACTTCAAACAAAATCTATCATACGTTAGTTTGGAGAAAATTCCTTAACTGGTAAATGGTTTCTTTGAACATAAAAACTTGATGAAAATCTAATTCAATACGATACGAATTGCTCTTCAAAATGATATAGGATCGTTTTTAATTTATCCTTCTAACCTCGACTTTTGCCATTGGCATCACGTAATACTGTACAATCTTCAATAATTCCATATGATTGGAAAAGTGCACGAATACTTTGTTCGTCTAAATTTTTTGATACCATTCCAACAAATAATTTTCTTTCTAGAAAATAAACAAAAGAAAAATAATTATTCAATTATTCATTTTGTTTTGTTTTTTTTTTTAAATACCATTTCGATTTTCTGTATCAGCTGGTTTCATTTGTATTGGATGATGACTACCATTTAATGTACGTAAATTATGTAAAGCATTTTGTGCATCTAATGCTGATTTTCGAGAATAAAATGTAACAAAACAACAACCTTTTGATTCACCAGTTTGTTTGTCACGTAAAACATTTAATTGAAAGACAGGACCAAACTGTTCAAACATTTCACGTAATTCTGATTCATGCATATTACGTGGAATTTGACCACAAAACATTTTAATAGCATCTGGATCGGGTTCATGTTTATCAATATTTATTGTTGATATAGCAGCAGATGATGGTGATGATGATAATGTTGTTAAATTTCCTTGAGTATTCATTAGTATTTATTAATAATTTGTTGAAAAAAATACATTGATGAACAAGACGAGACGATATTACGAATAAAAGACGTTAACGAATATTGACGAACAACGACGACGACCATCTCAAGGGGACAAGACGACGAACGAGAACGAAGAGACAACTAGAAAGAGAAGAACATCTTATTCATATTTTATAAATAAATAAGTAAATAAATCAGTAATCCTATCAAAAATATTTATTTTTTCAAAGATATCAAATATATAAAGAAATTTAAAAAAAATGCAAATATTTTTCAATAATTTTGTCATATATACAAGAACAAATGAATTTCATAACCAACCAACCAACTGGTTTTATGTTTACTCTGTTTACAACAAACCTTGTTAGTTATTATACATGAAAGCAAAATACCATTCGATGGACGAAAAGCTCGTCGTTAAGAGAAACTTCATAGATGTCGTTATGTATCGCGAATAGAGAAAAAAGAATGTATGAATAGATTTTTTTTAATGAAGTTATATTTAGATTGACTTTATTAGCTCATTATAACTAAAGTTTATCAAATAATAGAAAAATTTGATAGTACATCCGGGAATAATAAATCTTTCTAAATATTGACTCTTGACAATTTAATAAAATGAGGTCATTTTCAAATCAAAGAAAATACATTAACATATTCATTATTCTATTTCTTTTTATCACAAAGATTTTCCTTTGGAGAAAAATAAATTATTCAATGAAAACTTCTCAATATATAATTCAAAACTAACCTATACAAAAATGTTTTCTTTATTCGATAAGGAATAATATAATTATCTACAATATACAGGGCATCCCAAAAGTTATGATCACTTAATAAAAATAGATAACTCGACTACTGATAAAACTTAACTAAACGAGTACATAGTAAATTCCTATTTCCCAGAATTCAAATTTCTCCACATCATTATCCAATGAATAATACAAAAAATACGTAGAAATGAAGTGTATAGCTTTGAAAGGTTGGTTGGGTTAGGAAGGACGTGGATAAATTGAAGGGTGTGTGTGAGTGAAAACAAGAAGTACATGTACGAGAGATGGAATCGATATATATTTTTTCGTAACCGAACTGATCTGATCTCTGGCACCTGCGTCAATACCCTCACTTACACTCTATGGCGCGAAAGTCTTGATACAGAATATTCATTCATTTTTCGGCTACTAAAAGACAATTAGTTAGAGTCAGAATCAGAATTTTTCGCTATTTGCGAATATATGTTCAGATTTTTCTTCTATGGTAAGATTGAAGAATTATCAGTAAATTTTGTGAAAAAAGTTCCAAATTGCGTCTGTATACAACAAAATAACAGTTTTGGCACAGTCCTTAGTGTACGTAGTTCGTGTTGTAGAACAGCTTCAAATCATTACTATTTCAAAGCACTGAATTCTGAATTCAAAAACTATGCATTTCCATT